GAATTCCCTCCTGTCCCTGTGCTCTGCTGAGCTGGCTCAGCACGGCCAGGGTGCTCTCAGGGCTGCTCCCGAAGTTTTCCCATCTGGAGCCCTTGCCCAGCCCATGCTGATGAGGCAGGGCTGATTCAGAGCAGCTTTTGCAGGACGTTTTATTTTAAACTTGCCCTGCGGTCATCTCCCTGACCCAGCAGCCCCTTCCAAGAGCTTTCCTGCCATTCCTTCAGAGCTCTTCTGGCCTTGGGGCTGCCAACAATAACAAAGGACGGCTTTGTTGGCGGACAGGGGTTGGGACAGACGCTGTTCATGAGAGAGGAATTTTCTATGGATGCAAACTAGGGAGAGTGGGGGCAGCTGAGTGCCAGGCAGAGCCTCTCACCTGGCCCTGAGTCAGCAGGGCTCTCCACTCAGCCTGGCTGCCTCCAGGGTGCAGATCATCCCCTCGGGAATGCTGAGCCATGGCATGACAGCCAGCACTGCCACCCTCCCCGGGGAGAGGCAGCACACCTCATCCCTGAGGAATGCTGGCCCCATGGGAAAGGCTGGCTTTGCCTTTGGCTGGGCTCTCTCCACACCTGGATTTGGCAAGGGATGAGGATGTGCACTCGGGAGAGGTGGATGTGCCCTCAGGAGAGGTGGATGTGCCATCGGGAGAGGTGGATGTGCCCTCGGGAGAGGTGGATGTGCCTCAGGAGAGGTGGATGTGCCCTTGGAGAGGTGGATGTGCCTCAGGAGAGGTGGATTTGCCTCAGAAGAGGTGGATGTGCCATCGGGAGAGGTGGATTTGCCTCAGAAGAGGTGGATGTGCCTTTGGGAGAAGTGGATGTGCCATCAGGAGAGGTGGATGTGCCATCGGGAGAGGTGGATGTGCTCTTAGGAGAGGTGGATGTGCCACCAGGATGTGCCTCAGGAGAGGTGGATGTGCCACCAGGATGTGCCACCAGGATGTGCCTCAGGAGAGGTCTCAGGTCCCTCTGGCAAGGGCACAGCCTGGCACAGGACCGTGGCACTTTCCCAGTGATTCCAGTGGGATGGAGCCTCTGCAGGTGGAGATCTCAGGACAACCCAGAGGGAAACCCTTTTCCTGTAGGAACATCTCCATCCTGGGTGTTCAGGGCTCAGCTGCAGAGCCACCCTGGCTCACTCCCACTGGGATTGGGGACACAGTGATGCCAAAATGCGCTCTGAGAGGCCGAGGGGAGGCAACTCCCCAAACGTGCTGTGGTGTGTCAGATAGGGCAGGCAGGAAGAAGTTTCTGCTGATAAGAGAATCTTTGTGGTTCAGCTGGTGAGTAAGAGCTGAACTCAGACCCCAAAAAAGGAGCTCTGTGCCTGGTGAGTAGGAAAGCTCCGTCCCTGGCAGGACCATCTGCAGCCGTGTGTCAGACACGGGAAACAGACTCTGCTGACTCGTCTCCTTGCGGTGACCTGTTCCCCATCTCAGGATGTGTGGGGATTTGCCTGAATGCCCACAGGCTCTCTTCCTTCTCTTCTGATTTCCTGTGTCTTTGCTGCGTGCCCCCAGGCTGAGCAGCTCCCTCAGCAGGGCACGCACGGCCCCTGGCCCCTTTCTGGGCAGGATGGGGCCCCTCTGGAGCAGCTCTGGCTGCTGCTGAGGCTCTGATGGCAATTCTCTCTCCTGCAGAGCACCTACCCAAGCCATGTCCTCTATGGCATCCGTGCAGAGGGCAGGGAGCACCTCCTGTGGCTGGAGAGGAACAGGTGAGGGCAGGTGGGGCGGCCTCAGGGGGGTTTGCAGCCCACCCTTTCCCTGAGCATCCTTTCTCCTGGTGTCACTGCACTGCTGAGCTCAGCTCAGCCCAGAGCGCTTTGTCCCTTCCTTGCCAAGCCCACCCGGGGGTGTCACAGCCCCCAAATGCTGCTCCCAAAGTGGGGTCACTGCTGATGTCCCCTCCTCACCCCGCAGGGCCCTGCTGGGGCAGCACTACACCGAGACTCACTACTCTGCAAACGGCTCGGAGATCACGGAGCAGCCGGACACACAGGTATGGCCTGGGGACACACAGGTACAGCTGGGGACACACAGGTATGGGCTGGGGACACACAGGTGAGGGCTGGGGACACACAGGTATGGCCTGGGGACACACAGGT